TCTCGCCATGGAAAATTATATACACAAACCGGCACATTTCAATGGAATTGTATCGATAATTGTGGCTTTTCATAGATAATGATGTTTTGGCTTTGACTGACACTTTTGTCGGCGTGCTGCGACACACTGCAATTTTGATGAGGTTTATGATGGGGAGATGCCGAACTGCTGCTTGCTACCCAGTCCAAGAAAAACACAGAGAGCAGAGAGGCGGGAGGCATGAGATTTGGCAGAGCTTTCTCGCGTGTTCTTGATTCCTGTGTTTCTGGTCGTGAAATTGAACAAAACTGTTTTGATGAGGCCCAGTGACCATTTTCAAAACAGAACTACCCACATCTTAACAGGGATGCCTCGAGATATGAGTGGCCTGACTTTTTTTCAAGCAATAAAATCATACTCACGGGCACAAATTATTTATCATCCGCAAAGAAAGACAAACTATTACTGCGGCTTACGCAGGAGCTGTGCCACCCTCTATGTACAGACAATTCTCAACTCTCAAGGTGCACCTAATATAAAACAAACGAAAGAGAAGAAGCAACTGATTAGTCGTTTTGGAGTGTGGCAACCCCCAAAAGTCTGAAGGAAACTCAACCTGTGTGTCCACCGTCCACACTCGCCTCACAGGGGTTGCGCCTCCTGATATAAAGGCACTTAAGCTCCACTAAATATAGGTCCTCCCCATGAGTCTTCCACACCTTTTTGGTCTCCTCAGCAAATAGCCTTAAAGGAAAACGAGACATCTGCTCTGAACTCACACAATAAGAAAATAACGACAGACCGGCTTGATGGTGAACTAATTGACTTCCCACACGGTTCATAAAAATGGCAACTTTCCTTTCATTTTCTGAGGGCCTTGGGAGAAGAAGTTTCTTCACCACTACCGTATGAGGAAACGAGCGGGAATTTTGCTCTTTCGTGGCTATGACATAAAAAAATATAAATAAATAAGAATCCTCAGTTTTGATTGACGCTGTCATTAGATTGTGCAGTTCATGTTCTGGTCAGTGATCGTACATAAAGATGGCTGCTTTCGCCAAACCCTAAAGTGTGACCGGTAAAAAGTACTTTTTTTTCTCCTCACACTTTCCAGGGTATGACATAACTTCACATCGTATCTCGAAAGCAAGCAAAAAGTCACTAGAAGGCACGTACGGTTGTTTTCGCGCGTTTGTGAATGAATCGGGATGAGAGGAAAGTGCATCAAGTCATATCGTTGTGACCCATCAAAGTGAAGTGTCAAGTAAAAGCACCCCGGGGGAAGGATTCTTCTCCATCTTTAGCCATGCCTCATTTCCAATATTGCTCGCATCCCTTCCTCCACCTCTTACTTGCACCCCAGACGCTTGTGCCGTCCAGTAAAAGCGCAGTGTGCAAGTGCGAGTTAAAAGGCATCAGAATTTCTACTCACATTTCACTTCAGCACTGAAACACACGAACTTAAGTTCACTACTGTTTTAGATTTTTATTCATTTATTCATTTGACGAATTGGAAGCCAGTAAAGAGGAGAGAAAAATCTCATTATTAGTGGCTTACGTCCAGCATCCCCGTTTCCTCACAACCCCGGAAAAACAAGCTTTGGAACTTGTTACCCTTTGACAAGCCTAATGTTTACAAAAAACAACAACAACAAAAAAAAAAAAACGCAAGAAGAGGGAATTCCTCTGAGGATAAATTATATTAAAAAAAAAAAGACAACCCCCCCTCCCCCAAAATACCTGTGTGTGCTGTGCTCTGTCGGCATCTTGTCAAAACGACTCAGCTAATTAGGACTGCAGCCCAATGGCTGGCTGAGCTTTTCGTTCACACTCCACTGATCGTCTGCAGTAAACAAGGCAGGCAAAAAAAATTGCAAGTTTACACACATTCAAGTGAAATCATATGCGTTTTACAGCGTGGACCTGTCTGCATCCGTCTTCTATATCATGAACAGACAACCTACTCCACTCAAATGTGGTCATTTGACTACGTTTCCATACTGATGTTGCAACATGCAAGCACATGGAGCTAAAACGATATGACGTGGAATCAGGTTTGTGTAATCATCCTCAAAACGTTACAAAAACACTCCATTTCCAGACCACGGGCGGATACTTAAAATATGAGTCAAGTAGAGGTAAATCGAGAAGTTCGCCTTTTGGCTCAGCTCCCTTTTCACCACAATAGACCAATACTCATGTCCTCGTCACTGTCAACACTGCACCGATCCGCCTCTTGATCTTGCACTCCATTCTTCCCTCACTCGTGAACAAGAGAAAAGCAGAGGCCCTGAAATTGAACCCTGTGGATCTCCAACAGACAGAGGCATTTGGAATAAACAAGGAGGAAAACTGGAATTGCCGGTGTGCAAAGGCAAGTGATGCACAGTGAATGAGACTGTGAAAAAGAAATACGGGACCCAGAAATCATTTCCAGAGTGCATTCTGTGACATTTTTACTTGTGAATTACAAGAACATGGGAAAACTGGATGAGAAACTCTTCCACAGGTGACTGTTAAGTACGTATTGCTATGGAAAAAGAACAAGCACATAGGCGCTGATCTTTCGAATGATGCAAAATGGTGAGATGAGTCACCGCTCACTGCGCTTTCTACAAGTGGGTGAGAGCATGTGCAACATCAAGAGAAAGGCACAAGAATGAGTAGCGCTACTTTGAAGTCGGCTGATGGTAGCATGGCTTGCGCGCGCGCTTTGGACCGAAGCGGAATAAGATCTGCACTCACACTGGCATCTTGAACGTCAAAGCTCAAGTTCACCTGAGTGGACAGCCTTTGTAATGTCACTTGCAAAAAAAAAAAAAAAAAAAAAAAAATTTGTTTTCCACATTGACAGATGCTTGATGATCAGCCACTGTGTCATGAAATGATTTTGAAGCTATTTAGCTTCAGACTTCACAATCTTGTTCATGAAACGGCACCGAATGAAATATCACTTTGTTCTCATTTTCTTTGAGCTAAATTAAGCCTGTGTTGAAAGAAGCTGAAATTCGGTCGCATCCATAGGCTTCACCCATTTTGTGGAAGGAGAATCTCCCGCCACGTCACCAAAGAAAAACGATGAAACGAGGATGTCGTCGAAATTTACTCACAAACCGACACGCTCAGAACGAAATCTGCGGTTGTTTAAATGAAGCGGATACACTCGCAGGAAGCCATGACTCATTCTGTTGTCTGAATGGCAACAGGTGGATACACACGTTTATTCTACTTTCCGTCATCTGGCGGAAGAGCGCTTCGTTGTTGTCTGTCGCTAGACATCACCCGGCTTAAATAGATGAACCGAGATATTTTTGTGGTTAATGAATAATTGTCGGACGCGAATCCCTCTCTCGTTCTGTTCTTTCTCTCCCTGCACGCAACCTCCTCACAATCCTGTTTGCCTCATCCTTTTTGATGTTAACTTATGGACGCGTGCATTTAGCGTTCTCCTACACAATCTGCATCAAAGGTACACGCCCACGCATGCAAAGGCCTGCAGCGCGGCGCGTTTCGTGCATGCACAAAGACAGCCGCATACGGAAACTCCCTTACAAACACGTCGACACACACACACACACACACACACACACACACACACACACACACACACACACACACACACACACATCTATAGATGTACATCACGCGCACAAGGGTACATTGAGATATAAGTAATTTAGCAGAGTGTGACACTTTCACGGTCTAATTAGCCCCGCCGTTGCAGTAAACACGTCCCAATGACCCTCCAGTTCTGGGTACTCATTAACAATGGATGGCGCCCACGGCCGGGCTTGCCGCAGCCGTCAGGACCTGATTCGTCACAGGACGAAGTCCCCCAGAACCATCACGAGTGTTCCAAACGGATAGGATCCAACAAGGAAAGCCTTTCTCTCTGCCACTGCAAGGTGGGGGTGTGCAGGGGGGAAGGGGGGGGGCGGATGTTTTTGCGAGGTTTTCCGGTCAAGGCCTCGCACGCAGGCGGGCGCATGTGCACATCGACAACAAGCAGACTGAAGGAATGCTCTGGAGAGATGCTGCATAATTGTGTAAAGGGACAGACGGCTCTGATGCATGCTGCCTTTTGATGGCTTGATGGGGATTTTCCTCTCTCTCTTTTCTCTCCCTCCCTTGCTCACTCTCGTTTACTTGCAGCAGCAGATGCAGACAAGGCCAGCAAGCTGTGATCAAGCTCTGCCATCAGCTGGAAGGCTTCAACAGCAGGGTGCCCCAGATTCAAAAACCACCTCCCTCCTCCAATCGTTCGCAAAACACCTGCAGCCGCAACTATGTGGAGCCTCACTGACACCCGGTGGACAGAAATTGCAGTGCGGCTAGAGCACAAGATGGATTTGGGGAGTCAAAAATTGAGCGAGGATTTATGACAGCCATGTCATACCATCGAAATATTTATGTGAAGGCTGGGCCTCAATCACTCAGAAACATCTCCAATAGCCAAAAGGCAATTGTTCCACCCCACCCCCCCACCCCCAAAGGTCTTTCCAGCGTACCTATTGCAAAGCCCTCACACGTGGGAAAGTAGAGCCAGTCGCGGATACACTTTAAAGGGAAAAACAGTTACGAGAGCACAGTCATGCAGAAGCTGCTGTCAGCCACAGCTCTCGCGCAAGACCCTCACATGCATGCTCACCATCACACACCACTTCACCGGGCACCACCTCTTAAAGGCACATGCACATACACTGAAACTACACTATGTGCCGTATTTTGTATTTGATATTTTTTGCTTCCAATTAATTTTTTTAATGTGGGTGTTAATTTAGAAAGGCCATCGCGTTCTCAATTTTTTCATCCTATACCGCTTTCAGCCACTAGGGGGCATGTGTGTGTTATGCTATATGGAGATTCTCATCCATTAGCACTTATTCTCAAATATTATTCTTTTGCAAGATGATGCAAATGCCAGAGCTGTTTTAAGAGCCATATTTCAGATCCACGAGTTTTACTGGACAGTGTGAAGGTACCACCAGATTGTTGCTTACAAAGAGTCAATCTTGGTCAGATGATAGCCACAAAATATTTAATCAACTGGACATGCATTGTGCCACTGAATATTTTTCTTTTGATGTTGAACAAAGAAGATGGAGGTACAAAATGATCCACAATGCATAAAATGTCAAAACTAAAAAACAAATGACAGTAATATTGAGCCGGATACAAATTAGCTTAACTGGCTTGTTTGCTGCTGTAATGTTGTGAGCACTTTTCAACTACGATATTGCAAAAGGAAATATTTTTGAGCCATGTATGCAACAACAAAACAGTCCCGTAACAAGATTAACCAACAACAACAAAAATCTTGGTGGATTTGGGGGACAAAGAATGACTTCAGTCTTTTTTTCTTATACAGACATTTAAAGTAAAGTGTAAAAATAAATGGCAGCATTTATTTAAACAGTCTGACCAGATTAATAAACCCGGATGCGGCATTAAACGTTCAACCGTCAGGCCCACGAACGGAGCATCACAGTGCCGTGAACTCAAAAAAAAGCGGTCTTCTATGTACAACAAACTGCCTGAAACTTTTTTTAACCACTTGCTATGCTCAGTGCCATGAATTCAGTGCTGCAAAAGATAACAAATAAGACATTTCCGACAGCGGCTCCCCGAACACAAAAACTTTCTGTTGCGTGCTAAAGCTCCTCACACTGCTTCCAACTTGTGCAATTTCTGTCGGCACGCTCCAACGTGCGTTCAAAGCAAACACACCGAACAGCCACCATCCATGCCAGCTGAAGGACCGCAAACAGACCCTTTTTACCCTTTAAGAGTGTTGCCACAATCCACAGTAAGGCTCGCTGTGTAGTTGGGGAGGTTGTTTTTCAGCCAAGGCTTTGTCTCGACTCACAAAGCCACGCGACTGAGCTCCATGCGTCACAGTAAAAGACTGCCGCGCTTGACCTGCCTTTGTTTGAACCAGTTCTTTGCCCTGATCCCCTACCCCCCACCCCCCCCCTTTTTTTTTGTTTTGGACAAGGTGTAGACTTTGTCCTTCATATCAACATAGGCACACATTTACAGAGATCATTGGATTGGTTGAGGCTTTGCTCTTTCAGGAGAAACAAACAGGGGGAGCGACGCGTGGCGCGAACATATTTTAAGGACGTACGCAACAGCGCAAGCGGAGGCACGTGAGAAATCTCACGAGTGTTTGATGGTGTATTTGCCTTTCTGCAGCTGGGAGATATACAGCTTGGACTTGCTGCCGTCCAGTCGTTTGAACCACACCTCGTCATTGTTGATGGTGGTGATGATGGCACTGTGTGGAAAAGGAAACAACATTGGAGAAAATTGGCTTGGACGCAGTTTCACTGCGTCCGAGTAGTCCGACACTCGGCATCCTGCTCGGAGATACAACATAACACTGGCGTGCAACTGTCACCAAACTCCTTGCGTTTCATTGTTTTCCCCCCTTTGCAATAACATCACCTCAAGCCGACGGCGATTTATCCTGGGAGGGGAGGAATTAGTTTCAGAAGGGGTTTCATTTGCATGCGATAGTCTACGGGCTCTTTCGCAAAGACGTCATGCGTGGCCACACCTAGCAGAAAACCTTGAAGCTGGTGTAGTAAGACCAAAATAGAAGTCGACTGCGAGTGCCATGAAACAATGACGGCGCCTTGGAACACTTTGTGAAGGCTGTTGTGGTTTTGTCGTCGGGACTGAAGTGAACTCGTTGAGCATTCGAACACTTGATGGGAACAGGGACACGCTGTGACTGCCGATAAACACGTTCCCATGTGACCCACATGCTGTAAACAGCCGGAGGCGAGTGAAAAGGCAGGTGCTGCACCAGTGTTGGCAAACACCCCTGCCGTCACATTTGTCCTACAGTGAACTCCCGCACAGGAGTGATTTTGCACTTGAAAAATTCACCTTTCCACAGATTTTTCTTGGAAACTAGCTTCTGTTCTTCGAGAAGGAATTTCTATTTTGACACAAATAGTGCTTTCCTACCGACTTGGTGTCGGGTGTCAGTGGTTTGCAAATTTTCACTCCTTGAGCTCAGTCCACATCCCCACTTGAGTGCTGCTATGACCCCCGACACAGGGCACGAAAATACTTGGACATTCCAGGAACCACTTTTTTTTTTTTAATTTACTTTTCAGCTTAGTGTTTTTCTATGAGTTAAAAAAAATTCATTAGTTTGAATCATAACTTTCCTCACTGATCGGTTAAGAGAGTTCACGTGGTGACGAGCTCCCTTATAGCAAAGCGCGTGACGTACATTTTCAAATTTAAATACAGCGACGATGCATCCATCCTTTGTAGCTGACACCAGTCAGTCAGAACCTCAAGCAACCAATCCCGTTTTTTTTTTTGTTTTTTTTTATACCACGCAACTCAAAGAATGGGGAAATTCCCGAAGAGCCCACCCTTCCGCAAACAAACCTGGTGGGAAACTCGTCCTTCCTGTTGATACAGATGGCTTGCCCCCTGCAGTACCACTGGCTGTCATAGAAAAGTCGCCCGTCTTCGGACCGTGCGACGTGGTGGTGTCGTTCCGTTTTGGCTGGGGGGGGGAGATAAAGGAACACATGGATAACAAGAGGACTTCACAAAACGCAGTACAGGAAATGTTCTTGTGCGGTACGAACCGTCGGCCTTCCCCCTATGCGGCCCGAGAGACGCCATCGCCTGAGAGGAGACAACACAGAGCGACGCGTCACACATCTCGAGCGTCGCTTCCGACTCTGTTCGCCACCGCTCAAATATATTACCTTTCTTATTGCAGTCCAGTCTTCCAGAATATCCAGATCTTGCAGCATGTAAACAATATAAGGCCGTGGACGGGCAGTTAAAGAAACGTGAGCCGACGGGGCAACAAAGGAGGCAGGGCGGTGAAGAGCAAGACGATGGAAAAGGATATCAGAAACGACAACGGGCTTCTTCTTCTTGATGGGGCAGAACGGGTCTTTCTTCTTATTTTTCCGGGAATGCAGTCCGTCATTCCACAACTCTGGAAAACCAAAAAAGGATGCATTATAGAGGAGCCGCTAAATTACCCGCGTCAGCTTGTTTCATAACATTCGACGGCAAAATGCCAGTTCTATCTTTTCCTCATTTCTTCCGAATGAAGAAACACAACCTATCTATTTAGTCACGCTATCCGTGGTTGAAGTCTTTAGTTCCACTTAAACCAGTGATCTCCTCCTATGACATTTTGGAAAACTTACAGTTTTCTCATGAGGGATAAGTGAGTGATGATTTTTTTTTTTTTTTTTTTTTTTATGGTCTGACAACTATGAACTAAAAATGCTCCAAGTGTACTTTTGGAAAGTCCTTTGTACCTGAGGTGATGTCAATACTGTGCCTATCTTCCTCCAGTCGTCTGATCTTCTCCTCCAGCTCGCTCTGCAGTGTGTCAAACAGCAGCAGCTTTTCACTCTGGGGAAAATACATGGGTTGCATAAGAAGGAAGTATTTATCGATTGCCACAGACACTGTGGGGAAGACAAAAAAAAACAAACACACATTTATCCCGGATTACAAAATTAGATCAATTGCTGCATTTTATCACATTTTTTTTTTGTTACCTCCCAATGTTGGCAGGCTGCCTGGATCTCACAGTCATACTTGTTCTTCACCGATTCCAAGAACAGTTCTTTATAGATGCCTGGACCAAATCAATGCAAACGTTATGAATCAGACGGATACAATAACGTGCACAGAAATACAGAAGTTTTGAGATCTGGCCCAGAGTATGTGCTATAAGGGCTTCAAAAAAAATAAAATAAAAAAAAAAAGTAAACTTCCAAGTCACCTCAAACAAGTTGATGCGATAAAGTTAATCAACATTGACACATTGAGATGATCCCACTGTGGCTTTGGGTGGGGAATAACATTTACAAGGGCGAGGCTGGAAATTGTTTGAGAAAGAAGGTGGATAATTGGTTTTGGTTTCGGCTCGTCTTGGGCGATATGAAGGGAAATTAAAAATTCAATTACGATGGATGTCATTTTAGATCACAACTATAGATATTTTCAGTGTTCTATAAAAAGGATCCAACACACGATGAGTGCTTCTCTTTTGCCACTATTTTTGAAGTGACATTCAACAGACCCAAACACACATATTTGCCTCAAAGAGGAAAATTGATGATTGAAACAATAGGAGAGCAGTGGCGCGATCAAAGCTTTTCATCATATCGCCCAGCTCTTGTTGCATCCCAAAAATAGGGTTAAATAAACTTGGGCGGTGCTGGTGGTGAACTTTGGTAATGTGTTTTTGTTTACACAGGCTTATCAGAGATTTTCCCACGCCTTTGTTTTGTTTGGCTAACAATCAAAATCATTACACATTGGGGGAAAAAAAAGCGATTGTACTTGTACTGAACTACAAAGCGTAAGATGTGTAACACAGTATGAGCTTGCCACTGCTGACGCATTTCTTCAAGGACGAGTATTATTTCAGGAGGAAAAATTAAGCCTTACTTAACCTGTCCTATTTTCGGGAGCATTGTAGAACTAACAACTCTTGTGTAACACTCGGTTTAGAAGATGTGTGTATTTGTCAACAAGTCTCTGGGCTTCATATCCATTAGGCCTGTCCACAGTGTCTGATTGTTATCAAGTCAAACTAAAACGGAAAATAAGTGTGGTGCCCTTCATTGGACAGCGATGCTTTCATTTTTGTAACCGTCCTCCCTCATACAAGTACTGATATGACGAGGCTGTTTGTAAGCGTATGTGCAGACGTGGGTGGTACCAACGCGCATGGGCAAAGGTAGTATCTCTAAAAACAAGGACATGCGTCAACACCATTCTTATTTTGTTCCTTGGAAGACATTGACTTGCTATTCAACTCATTCAACCGTTACCATGTTGGCCTTGCCCACAACAGCCATTCCAATCTTTTGACGTGGCCTTGGAAAAATTAATTGCCCGCTCCTGATCTAAAGGCTACAGTGCATGTCAACAAGGTCGTACCTGCCACTTTAGTTCTGATTTGCATGTTCTCCTGCAGGTTGGCTAAAGGTTCCAGATATTCCTGGGCACATTCCGCCACCACTTCCTGCAGCTTGACATCCACCTGGCTCAGACGTTCCCTATACAATCTATACACGCGAAAGAAAAGCAGCAGATCGTGTGTTCAAATGAGGGCTGTGCAACGGATGCAGTAAGACTCTAACCGCAGACGACAGCAGTTAAACCAGAGGCTAATAACAAACTTATGTGCACGGTGCAAAAACGTGGAATAATGAGGCATGAAACCACATTTCGCAGTGTCCTCCACTTATTCTTGACACTGACAAGAGGAAACTTACTGCTCCTTCAAGTCCGTGAACTGTTTCTCCAGGGTAGTCATCTCATCCAGGCACTCCATCCTCCTCCTTTCACAGTCTTCATCGTCCATTTCTGTGCACATACGAAGATATGGCAGCTTGGGCGCGGGGATTCAGGCATGATGACGATAGCAACTTCTTACGGGGTGTAAGCAGATTTTGAACTCGCGGGCTGCATGCCACATTGACTGACTGACATAGGTATTATGTGGATTTTAAAATGGGGTGATTTTAGGCCTGTTTTCCTACCCGAGCTGTCTCCATCTTCGGACACAGACGTGCTAACCGTGTCCTCCTCGTCAGTGCTGCTACCGTCTTGCTCCGGAAAATCCACCTCCATTTCCTCGTGGTTACTTTCTTTCTTCTCCCGGGAGTGTACCGGCATTACGACTTGCAAAGGATGCACCGTAACGCCGCGGCAAATGTTCTTGTTAAGTTGGAACACGGGTGAGAGGCGATATTGTAGCTCAGTCAGCTAACCGGTTAGCGACACCGCATCAAGACAGCTGGAGATGCAAACATGGCCCCTGTAGACCAATGAAAAGAGGTTTTACTCAGACTCCCCCCAGTAGACCAATTAGAAGAGGTTTTACTCAGACTGTCCAATCAAATGTTTCGATGCGAATCTTTTGGCAACGGCAGATGTACTGCGATTTGTGGTTTCATTTACCGACACAAGAAAGTATAAAGTCACCTCGGTTCACAAGTTTTAAACCATTTTACTGACCTTACACAGTATGAGGAAACCTCACCGACAAAATACATTTCATATTTTATTTTCAATATACATAAAAATTCCTTCCTACTATGTGTTTGCTGGCGTTTATCCATTTTCACATTTGGATTCTTGGATCAACTGTGATTCATCCATTATATAAGCCTAAGGCACAAATTTGCATGATAATAATCTAATGGCTCGCCATCAAACAAAAATGAGGAGACTTGTTTTGCACCACAGCGGAATTACGTGCAGGTGGATGACCCATAACTGAAAACAGGAATGTCTCATTTCCACCGTCTAGTCACTAGACTCTAGTGACTAGTCATACAGAATACATGAATAATTTGCAATGGAAGCACAAGGTAATTTTACGCTTGGACTTTCTCTTATGTTAAATCCAGTAGTAACAGACTGGCTTGGTGAATGATTCAAATATCCCAATGCCCAAAGTGTCAAAACTTGCCGTTTCTCCTTTTACTAGATATCGTAGTGATGGCGAGATGGAAGTGAGATGTGATGGAATAATTGTGCAACCTGAAAGCAGTGAACATTTTACAATATGAAAATACATCAATATTTTGTCAAAAATGGTAATAAAATAATTTTCACACTCCTAGTTCACGCTTGAACTTTTTTTTTCAAGAAATCTTTTATCGAGATGAAATTAGTAAAATACTGAAGCAAAAACAAAAGTTAAACCGTGGCAACAATGATGAAGGAAGGCGCCCATGATATCATCAACAATTACAGTAGAAACCACAGTTGTGTAAGCATCTATGCTAACAGAGATGGCCTTTGAGCCTGATGACATCAAATATTATCTTAAGTGGGTACTTTTGATACAGCAAAATAATTTAATCATGTTGTTGTGGTTTGTCGTGCAACCCCACTATTTCCGGGTTGTGTCTGCCAATATGATGCATTTTCGTTGCATGTGGGTCAGGAAACTTTGCTGTCTAATTTGTGTAGCACTCCAGTGCGTAAGATGAAAGTCTGAGCTTTCACAATCTTGAATTTGTTTCAAACGGGACAAAATGCTGTTTTAATGCCATTAAAACATCATTATAACGATTTCATGGTATTACAACATGGCCAATTTAATTATTAATCCGCCTGCAAGTGGTGATTAGTTAACAGCATTGTTACCATCCATTTATCAATCCATTAGCTGAACCGCCGAGAGTCACGGGCGTGCTGGAGCGAGTAAGAATTCCATCTGGTTGCATTCATGCATATTTTTTCAAGCTCCCACCAACACAGGCGCTGGATTAGAATTTGTGGCTAAAAGTCAGCCGCGCTTCAATAGATTCCTCATTGTGAGTGTTCCGACCACTTTGGGCTGGCATGCGGGCCACAGAGTTGCATGCCGTTCCATTCCTTAAACCTATCAGTACATTGGTATGCGTCCCTGTCAATAAATACTTTGCATGCATGTCCGTGGTCTCACTGTACCCCACCCCATTAAAAAAAGGTGCGACCAATTCAGAAAACTGGCCGCACCAGGGCTATCAGGTGAAAAGTTAATGTCGGGCCCTGTTTTTTTTTTTTTTTTAATCTATAAACTTTTCATACAGAGGATGATTGAATCATTAAATTAATTTGTATTAATAAACATGCCAAAACATTAATTTGCTGTTTTTTTTTGTCTAACATAATTTTTTTCATGAGTACACCAGAGAGTAAGAGTAGTGTCATTTTTCAGACTGTAGCCTTGTTAACAGTGTTGCGCCTCACCATTTTTCCAATACTGTATAAACAATACCACTGAATTCAACCCCCCCCCCCCTTAGAAAATATGTTAAAGGTTAGTAAGCAAAAGTTTCATGATGTCAACATTAGGTGATGTCATGGGTGAATAGGATTGTGATGCCCAGACAAGTCGAGATGTGCTGACGCACAGAACACAGTGTGCATGTGATACCCAGTGTTGGTCTTCATAGCAACCTTGGGTAAACACCCGGCAAAACTACTTGCTTGCATTATCTTTGCAACGACTCTCCAAATCGCCAACGATGCACACAGTAAGTGGAAGTCCCGGCATGTCATGTGCCGGGACAATATCAGACGGCGCACTTTTGGTCGTTTAGTGGAGTTAAAGGAACCGACTTTAGGGCAAAGTCATCGGGATGGGAACAGCATGTCCTCGGTTTCTTTGTTCACACTTGGCACAGATGAAAGATTGCTTGGAATTATATGGCCAAGGAGGAGATTGCGTGCATGTTTGTATGAGTGGCATTTCCCTGATGTGACTCACACTCAAGACACACAACACCCCACTGGGTGTGTTTGGATGGTGTGTGCTTGTTGTGTAGATCTCCCACTATGTATAGGAGATTTAATTGCTTGGATACCGTTGCTATGTTTGCAAAGGTAAATCCCCGGGGAATGACAAATCAGGCAGCTCCAGAGCAGGTAGAGCAACTCTAACACCATATCCATTATATTTCCATTTTACTGTCAAACACTTGGTGTGACAAAGTCATAATACCAAGAAAAGTCCGAGCGCAAGTTACGCAGAATTCAAAGCAAAAAGTCTGCAGTCTATGTTCACATTTACAAAGAAAGGCAAGTCCCAAACATCCTCTTCTGGCAGCACATGCGATGAAGGCTTGGTTTCACAAGAGTTGCACTGTACAAACTTGAGAATTTTTTTTCCCCTCCCTCCTCTGTATACAATGAGCAGACATGGGGAAGTTTTGAAAAGGTATTGTGTTAATGGCCAAATACTGCTGGTTTCACAAGAGTTGCACTGTACAAACTTGAGAAATTTTCCCCCCCCTCCTCTGTATACAATGAGCAGACATGGGGAAGTTTTGAAAAGGTATTATTGGCCTAATACTGAAGATTGTAAATTCAAATGCTGGTGTAAAATAAAAAGCGCATTTAATAATCCATGCCTAAACTCCTACCTAAAATTGGATAGTTCAAGGACACTCACTCGCACAGTACATGAGCAAATTATGCAAATCCTGTATGGGACAAAAAAAAAAATTGAAAACATCTCTCTGTATGATGCAGTGCAAGTTTATACGACGGGCACTGCAAGCACTGAATGTAACTGAACATGTTCAGTTACATTCATCTGTGTTCACGGCTATACTTTATATGTGACATACACTGCATATTTTACAACAAAACCTCACACAAGTTAAAACACAATTCCAATATTTGACGGGCTGATGATCCCCTTGTCATATTTCATTTATAACCACTATAAGTAAAACACAACTATATGATTACCGTTGATATATATAGCACACGGGTTAAGGTCATATAATGATCGATTATGTGAAGGGGCAAACGTAGGAGTGCATTTAAAATAATAGCAAATATGAATGTTAAAACACAATTCCAATATTTGACGGGCTGATGAGCCCCATGTCATATTTCATTTATAACCACTATATAAGTAAAACACAGCTATATGATTGCTGTTGATATTATATAGCACACAGGTTAAGGTCATATAATGATCGATAATGTGAAGGGGCAAACGGAGGAGTGCGTTTAAAATAATAGCAAATATAAACCAAAATCAATTAAAAGTCGCTCAAAGGAAAAATACAGTACAGTGGAAAAAAAGAGCCCCAATTTCCCCCAGGCAAGAGGGAATTCTTGAAGAGCCGAAAAGAGGTTGTCCCCATCTCATTCATGGCCACCATTCACAATCAAATATCCCCTCGCAAACATGCTGTAGGTGTCGAATAGGAAACTACAAGTTTTCATTTTGACTTGAGGGTTGGAGGATGAGGAGGGGGGGATTTTTTCTCACAAAAGCACAGCCCTGCCTGTGTGATTTCCCTGTCTTAGATAAGTCAATTGGAAATCCCCACAGAGGCTCCACCCAGCCGCGCTGACAAAAACCCGCAGCGCCAGCCCCCTCCGAGCCACTCTTCTTCCTGAACTTTCGAC